GAGAGAGAGAGAGAGAGAGAGAGAGAGAGAGAGAGAAAGGACACTTTCCAAAAGGCACTACTGAAGGGAACTGATAGATTTTAGACTTCTCTTGAGATTTTGAACCTCGAGATGCGCTTATTAAAATGTGTCAAGTTTGCACTGTGTTCAGAATATTTGGGTCATCTTTTGTTGCTCACACACACCACTATACTTTTCCTGTTTGATTTCGGTGTGCCATTCTCGTAAAGAGAATTTGCTCGAATCGTAATAATGTTTTGTTTGATTTGGTTTTGTTCTTTGTCTAAAGGATTCACGCCATTCAAAGTTCAGCAATATTTGCATTTTCTCTCTCTCTCTCTCTCTCTCTCTCTCTCTCTCTCTCTCTCGATATAAGAGCTGACATTTGGAAGGCTTTGATATTTGTATTTCTCGTCCTAGTTTTAGGTTACAAATCTATAATCCAAGTCAAGTTATTGCCAGCACAAAAGGTGTCTGTGTGGATCGTTGATTCGCCCAAGGAGGTAGTGCTTCAAACTTAACAGGATCTGTCTAGTAGTTCAAAAAGCAAACGAGATAAAACTTTTATCTGTGTATTCAGTTGACAAAACCCCCAAGAACAAATAAAATAAATTGATAAAACAATTTTTTTTAATTTCTCTAGTGGTTATAATTGCGGACACCGATTCCGTTCAATAAAATACTATCACCTATGTGAGAATATTGCTGGGTCGGGCCAGATGTTTTGAGCCGTGCCAGGAACTTATTAAACTTTCAGTCGGGTTAAATCCAAGACAAAATCTTACAGTCAGACAGACAAATTTCACACCAAACATTCTCACTAAAGTGCTTGTCATTACATTCTAAAACTTTGATTTCTGAGTTTGACTTACGAGAAAGAGGTCAGACTCCTAATACTGAGGAGAAAATTTTCTGATAATGATCCTGGACAATCACTAAAGACAGTGAAAATAAAATAGAAGCAACAGAACTGGGGTTTCGTAGGAGACTACTGAGATGTCGTAGAAGGAAAAGAAATCAAAAGAGGTAGTGCTTGATGAAGCCCACGTGGGACGCTCAATGTTAAAAACAACCAGGAAACGACCAATGTAGTTTTTGGGACACATAAATAGACATAAAGGTCTTGAACATCTGCTCTCACTGGCAAAATTGAAGGCAAAAGAGGCAGGGGTAGGTCCAGAGTGATCTACTTTGGGAACCTAAACAAATGGGTAAAGGGGGAAGATCAGGGAAACGGAGCTTTTTTAAGAGCATCCGAGCAAAGGAAAGAATGGAGAACCATTATCGCCGAAGTCTGTCGCAGATCTGGCACTGGATGATGATGATGGAGATGATGATGATGATGATGATGATGATGATGATGATGATGATGATGATGATGATGCTGTATCCAGCCTCATAAGTGGCAGCTCCACACTACTCGCTAGAGAACAATAAGTGGAAAAAACGAGAAACACTTCACGCGAAAACAATTCATTTCAAATTTGCTGCTTCTCCTTTTACATATTTCGCTGCAGATCATTGGATATTCTTGACCCAATACTTTATTTGTTTCCGAAGTCCGAAATATCCTTGCATCCGCTGAAATCTGAGCCTGTCCTTTTTCTCCCGCCAGCCAGGCTGCCTGACCAAAACAAAACGTGTCAAACTTGTGTTTCCTGAACGATGACAGCATCACGACCGACTTGTGAACGTGAGCACTTAATCCCCCCGAGTCTGACAGATTAGCTGCGCAAGTGACAAGGGTTTTGAATGCGTTCAAGAGTGCTCAGATGTCCTCAAAGTCTCGGCAAAAAGAGAAGAATGTGTAATGTAAGTTTTTGTTTTGTTTTTGATTCGTTCCTTTTGATTGAGATTCTAAGATCTAAGCCAGTTTCAAAACAATCTGCACTATTTAAAAGAGGGCCTTTCAAATTAACAATCTTGCCTCATTTGACAGGATGAGGATGCCTCTGTAATGTCCAAACAATCTTGGACAATAAATTTATCCGTCTGGAAGTTTGCATACACTATAATATTATCTCTGATAGTAGCCTAAGTAGTTTTTCTTGACCGTTTGTCCTTACTCTGATATCTCCCTGGTAGTATATTTCAGAGGCTACTCTTGACCGCTTGTTCTAACCCGGATATCTCCCTTGTAGTATCTTAGGCTGCTCTTGCCCGTCCACAGTTTGTCCTTATTATGCTATCTCCCAAGTAGTATATTTCATAGGCTGTTCTTGACCGTTTGTCCTTACCCTGGTATCTCCCTGGTAGTATCTTAGGCCTTGGCCGTTTCTCTATACCCTGATATTCCCCTGGTAGTATATTTTTGAGACTACACTTGACCGTTTGTCCGTACCCTGATATCTCCCAGGTAGTATCTTAGGCTACTCTTGGCCGCTTGTTCTAAATCCGAGAGAGATATCTCTCTGATAGTATATATCTTAGACAACCCATGACCGTTTGTCCGTACCCTGATATGTCCCTGATAGTACCGGAGACTGTTGACTGTTTGTCCATACCCTGATATCGCCATGGTAGTATATATCTTAGTCCACTCTTGATTGTTAGTCCTTACCCTGATATCACTCTGGTAGTATCTTAGTCCACTCATTACCGTCTGTTCTTACCCTGATATCTCCCTGGTAGTACCGGAGACTGTTGGCGTCCAGCACAAAGGTCCGCCTCTTGTAGTTTTCCTTGGTGAAGAAGGCGCTGCGACCCCGGGCCCGCTTGAGCATGTTGTCTACCATCAGATTGGACAGCCGAAAGTTGTGGCCGGAGCCCATGCTCATCATAGACATGGCGGGAGATGGAGGGCGCTCATTGGCTGGAGGTTTGGAAGAAGGGAAAGGAAAGAAAATATCATTATATTATTATGACTAATGATTATTATATGAGAGGCAGAGTGGTGAAATCAGGCTCTCACCGAAATAACGAAAGTGAAGAAACTGGCATCTTCCCGCAGATTTGGGAATTTTTATCAATTTTTTCGGCTCAACTCTTTTCAGGCCCATTAAAGAATACCTTGCTGTATTGATCTTTACTGAAAAACATTGATTAAAGGCATAACACATGTAAATTTTCAGTTACAACAGACTCTCAAGCTAAGAAAATAACACAACTTTGGCGCCATTTTCTCGATAATTTTCATTTGAAGCCAGACAGGTGATATATTCATTTATTTGTCTTTTCATCGTGCTGGGAAAGATTTCATGTTATTTGTGTGTGTGTGTGTGTATGTGTGTGTGTGTGTGTATCTGTGTGTGAGTGAGAGTCTGTGTGTGTATATGTGTGTATGTGTGTATATGTGTGTGTATGTGTGTATTTGTGTGTATGTGTGTGTGTGT